CTCAATCGCGGCCTTGGCAACCAGGGTCCCAGATTGACCTGCTCCTCCCAGCTCCGCCTGGCCAGGTCTCCCCAGGCAAAGGCTCACCCCAGAGAGCCAACACCTCGAATCAACCCCGGTGATGCGGGTGCCGCTCGCCATTGAGACCAAAACCCTCATCCGGCCCGGCTGGCGTGGCTCGGGGCTGGAGCTTTGACCTATGGACCAGGAGGTCACGGCCAGTTCCTGGTCAGGGCACGTGCCCGGGTTGCAATAGGGGTTCAATCCCCAGTGGGGGGCGTGCAGGAGGCAGCGATCCATGATTCCCTCTCATCATTGATGTTTCTATCTCTCTCTCCCTTTCCCTGCCTCTCTGAAATCAATAACAATTTATTTTAAAAAAACACACACCAAAAAACAACCCCTTAGCCACCTGCGTCCAGAAGCCCTAGGCAGGTACCCAGTGACAGGGGTCTGAGGCCCCGGGGTCAGTCTGGGCAACCATTCCACCCACAGAGCCACTAGATACTGACAATTTGCACAAGCAAAACCCAGTGACCTTGAACCCTCGGCTCCCAGTCACCTCGCCCACCCACCTCGGCCGCATCCTGCTCCTGCATCCAGACACTAGGGCCTGGCTCCATCAGCCCTCCGGGCTGGCAGGAGGGTGGGGGGCCCCAGCTGCACCATCCCTTCAACAATGACCAAGCCGCTACCGGGTCCTCAGACCGTCATGTGAGCCTCCCAGTGACTGTCCCAGGCCCCTGGGGCCTGAGCGGGAAGCTGCCTGGTCCCAGCTCCAAACCCTTTGACTGGAAGGAGGTGGGCTGTCCCCAAAGCACAGGTTCACAGCCCTGCACCTCCCAGCCTGACGGTGACAGATCCAGCCCCAGGAAGGGCCTCGGGGTCCCCCTCCCGGCCCCCTCCCTGCCAGAAGCCAGAGGGGCTCTCAGCGGAAGGGGTGGGGGCAGAGCCAGCCGGAGAACAATGGGGCCAGGCGAGGGGGAGTCGGTGGGGTTCCCCGGCTGCCTTGCCATCGCCATAAACCTCATTACCTCGTGGTCCCCTAGGCTGCCTCTCGCCTTACCCAAGGCATCCGCCGCTCCGCTGCTGACTCCCACATGGCGAGAAAAGCTCTTAAACCCCCCGCTGTATTTTTAATGGGGGCAGTGACTAATTTAGCCCTCCGCCGCCAACCGTCAAATCAGATCTTCCCGTTGGTACTTACTGAGGACTCACCTGGGCTCCGTGGGGCTGGGGATGAGATCCGGGCCGGAGGGGGGCCAGAGACAGTGATGGGGGGCCCTGGACACGCAGGTCCTGCCCACAGTCTCGGCTCCGTGGGCACGACAGGCCTGGCGTGGATGCAGGGCAGCCTGGCCCAGCCCCGGCCACACTTGGGGGAACACCGATGCCTCCCTCGAGGTCTTCCCCTAAAACGACTGCGTCTCCAGGGGCTAAAAATGGGGGTTCACTGCCTTTGGCTTCCAGGAGGCAAGAGCCCTGAATTGTAAGGGCAACCGCTCCTTTGTGTCTGACACCGTGGGGTCTGCTCTGTGATTGGCAGGTGTCAATGCCTTTAGAAAAGCAAAGTGCCCCACTCATGCGAGGGCGTGACACCAGGTGGCAGAGAGGGGATCTCTTCTTCCCTGTCACCAGTCACCAGAAGCCCCGGATTCGGGAGTCAGACGACACTGGGGTAATGGCTCCACATTCCACGCCCGTGACTTAGTATCACATTATAATTAGGCGCAATCTGTCCGCCTGCTTCGTTTCTGCTCTGCGGAGGGGAATAACCAATTTCCTTGCCTCTTGTGAAAAGTTAGCAGGGAAGGGCTTCCCCGGGCAGGTGCCGAAACCCTGGCCTCTGATTGGTGGATCCGCCGAGCACCAGCATGATGGACAGAGGTGTGGGAGGAGGTCCAGGTGGGAGGCCCAGGTGCTGGGTGGGCCCTGGGGCGCCAGCAGGGCCAGGGGAAGCTGAGGCAGGAGAGAGAGGCGGGGAAGGTGCAAAGTGTCGGGAGACACCCATTCCGGGGGCTGGTGAATGCAGGTGGCCCCTGAGAGCGGGGGCCCCCTGAACCTTTTACCCTCAGCACCCCCTTTGCCCCACTGGCGTCCTGGACCCACCACGGGTCTCTGCACCAGCACACCCCACCGGTCTCTGTGAGGGAGGGAACCTGCTGCCCCTACCAGGCTCCCTCCTGGAACCCCCAGCCCCTGCCACCTCCCCATGCCTGGCCAGGTAAGGGTTAACCACGTGACTGCCTACATCAGCCCTGGGAAGGCCATTCCACGTGGGGGGGTGGGGGTGGGGGGACACACAGGGCACAAAGTGGATGCACGTGTGAGCCATCCACCTGCTGTGGAGGAGCCGCCCACTTCCCCTGGGGCCTCAGCTTCCCCCTCCCTCAAAGGGAGGAGCAGAGCATCTCATCCCACTCCACGGCCCCCACAGCTCCCCTGGGCTGTGAGCGGGCACCAGGCGACTGCACTTCTTTCCCGAGGGAAGCTGGGTGTATTGTGTGCGGGTCCCCGGCATGTGCGATCCCCCAGGAACTCGAGGACACGCCCCACGGGGGACCTCCCCCCACCACCCAGCACGGGCCCCAGGCTGGGAGGAGAGAAGCAGGCAGCCGAGGCCGAGAGCGTGTTTCCCTTTTATTAAACTGCACCAGTGCCGCGGCCCGCGGCCGCGTTTCCAAGCAGGCCTTCCAGTGGCACTGAAACCGGTGCTCCTCATTACACAGTTGTAATCACTGTCCGGCGAACTGGCAAATCCAATCAAAGCATTCGTCTTTAATTAAAAAAGGGAAAGGAGATATTCCGACAATAACCTTTTACCCTCAGCACCCCCTTTGCCCCACTGGCGTCCTGGACCCACCACGGGTCTCTGCACCAGCACACCCCACCGGTCTCTGTGAGACCCGAATGGAAAAAAAAAAAAAGTCAATTTATAGGGAGCCCAGGTTGGCGGCAACAGGCACTACCCCTACCTGGCTCCCTCCTGGAACCCCCAGCCCCTGCCACCTCCCCATGCCTGGCCAGGTAAGGGTTAACCACGTGACTGCCTACATCAGCCCTGGGAAGGCCATGGGGGCGGGGGCGGGGGGCAGGGACACAGGGCACAAAGTGGATGCATGTGTGAGCCATCCACCTGCTATTCGGCTATGGAGGAGCCGCCCACTTCCCCTGGGGCCTCAGCTTCCCCCTCCCTCAAAGGGAGGAGCAGAGCATCTCATCCCACTCCACGGCCCCCACAGCTCCCCTGGGCTGTGAGCGGGCACCAGGCGACTGCACTTCTTTCCCGAGGGAAGCTGGGTGTATTGTGTGCGGGTCCCCGGCATGTGCGATCCCCCAGGAACTCGAGGACACGCCCCACGGGGGACCTCCCCCCACCACCCAGCACGGGCCCCAGGCTGGGAGGAGAGAAGCAGGCAGCCGAGGCCGAGAGCGTGTTTCCCTTTTATTAAACTGCACCAGTGCCGCGGCCCGCGGCCGCGTTTCCAAGCAGGCCTTCCAGTGGCACTGAAACCGGTGCTCCTCATTACACAGTTGTAATCACTGTCCGGCGAACTGGCAAATCCAATCAAAGCATTCGTCTTTAATTAAAAAAGGGAAAGGAGATATTCCGACAATCGCCAAGCAATCACGTCACAATGCACAATTATCTAGAACTGCAATTAAAAAGTAGTTAACCGAAGGGGGTTGGGGGGGGTGGGGGGAGAGAAGGGAGAAAAAACAAGAAAGAAAAAGAAGCCAAGGAGAGGGGGAAAAAAAACAAAACACTAACTCTTTCTCTTTAAAAACTATCAATATAATACATGAAGGAACAAAGGACAATAGGCTCAAAAAAGCGGGCTCCTCTAACTCTAGAAACGTAGTCTGCGGCAGAAAGTCTAAAAGCGCACTAGCTGGAGCAGGGCAATAAAAAATACTGAGCATGAAATACTTTTAATCTCTGCCATTAATATTCATTTCCAGCTGCTTATAATAGCAGCGCCTCATGGCCAAATCATTAGAGTTTTACATCTGGGTTGCAAATGACACTTTGATTGGATGTAATGTTCAAATGGCCCTCCGCACGGCGTCTCCGGCAGGCCTTCCGCCGAGAGGTGTCCTGTCGCGCGGTCCCTCACTGTGCGTGCTGGCTCATCGTGTGATTCTGCGAAGGCGAAGAAAGGAGACACGCATGAGGGCAGAAGAATGGCGAGCCTGCCGCACCCCCCCCAGCCCCCCCACTCCGCGCATGTATGCCCCGAGCCACAGAAAAGCGCCGCGATTATTCCAAAACAGAATGCAGCCGGGAGAAAGTGCATCGGGGACGCAGCTGCCAAGACGCCATGTCGGTGTGGGGCTTGGGGACCGGTTCCTGTTGCCGCCAACCTGGGCTCCCTATAAATTGACTTTTTTTTTTTTTCCATTCGGGTCTCACCGTGGGGACTGGCTACAAGGAGGGAACGGGGAAATGCTGGGGAGGGAGCAGGAATGAAAGGCATCCCTTTGGCTCTAACGAGGAGGAGGAAGTTGTATCTGATCCCCTGCAAGCTGCCCCTGGATCCTCTCTCGGTCCATCCCAGGAGCAGCTCTGAGCCCAGGGCAGGGCGAGGGCACGAGTGCCAAGCAGCTCTCCAGCCAAGAGGCGCCCAGTGGCACAGGCCTCTGCTGGTGGTGCTGCCTGCGGCCCAGGCGGCAAGAGTCACCCAGCAGAGAGGGTGCGGAAGGAGGGTGCCTGCCCGCTCCGTCACATGACAGCTCTCCGGCCAGAAGGACATTGTATGGTTAGGCCAAATCCGCCTGGGAACCCCGGGCCCAGGTGACCCTCTGGCCAGGCGCTCCCCTCTCGCCACAGCCGCAGCCCAGCCCAGCCGAGCGGAGCCGGCCAGCAGTGTGGTCTGTCTTGTCTTCACAGGAGCCAGTGGCCGGGGGCAGGCGGTGGGGTTTGGCCTCTGCGAGCCTGCAGTTTTTTTGTTTCTTTCCAGTGGTCCATGTTCCAAATCTAGACCCATCGCATCAAAGCCTCATGACACCCGGAGAAAGGAAGCAACATCTCCCCGCGGCAGAGGAGCCTGCGTGGGGGCAGCACAGAAACCCCAATCCGGCCGCATCCCAGGGATGCTCCTGCCTCCCCAGACCCAGGAGCTCCGGGCCTGCAGTTCTTCCGACGACCACCAGGGGGCAGACGCGACTCTGCGTCCCTCCTGGGCTCCAGGTCTGGGCAGGGAGGGCCACAGTTCAATGCCCAATGCCCGAGGCGAGGCTTCGCTGGGAGGCCTGAGGACACCCCCACCCCGGGCCCTGGAGCAGCTGCCTCCCCCTGCAGGCACTGCTGCCCCTCCCCTCCGCCTCCGTGGTGACGTCACCACCCCCTCCGGCGAGCTCCCAGCCAGGGAGGGGCAGCGCCAGGCGCTCAGACAGGAGATGCCGCTGGCTTGGCAGCACAGGTGCCAGCCACTGCTGGCCTCCTTCCTTGGGCTCCTGGGCGCAGGCCACATGGCTGGCGGTTGGCACGCGCACGTGCCGTGTGCTGTGGCAGGTACATTTCCCCCCACCCTCGCCACAGCCTCACCAGGTGGGACGAGGTAAGATGAGAACAAAGGGGCTCAGGGAGGCCCGGTCGCTGGCTCCAAGGTCACCCAGAAAGCGAGGGGCTGGGGCAAGAAGGCGGACTTCCCAGGGCCCCACACCCCACGGGCACCCCAACCCACGGATCGCCCGCACTCCACCCCAGACACGTGCACACGCTCTGCCGTGGCCTGGCACCCCGGTGGCAGGGGTGGCAGGAACCCGGGGGCTCCAGCGGGTTGTCTGAGAC